GGGCCGCGTGTCCCGCTGTCCCGCCGGAGGCTGCACGGCCTCCCCTGGCCTGCCCTCCTCGGGCGGCCCGGCGCTGGGCCGGGCCCTCCCGGCTCTGGTTCGGTTGGGTTGGGTCTGGTTCGGTCGGATGGAGTTGGTTGGGTTGGGCTGGCTGGGGTTGATTTGTGTCGGGTTTGGTTTTGTTTGGTGCAGTTTGTTGTTTTTTAAAAGAAGGGACCAGCAGCTTTCATCGCCTCGGCCAGGACTCCACCCCGACAAGCCTGTCGTGCCCAGTCTCGGCACGCGCAGGAGCTTCGTCCTCGGTTTCAGGGACGCCATTACCAGCCTCGCTGCGCGCGTATCGGCTTAACCGAGAGCTAAATGCAACCCACCTGCTCGGCCGCCTCTCCTTTCCTCTGGACAGATCGTCTCCCAGAGACCTTCAGGAGGTGCCCCACGCTGTGAGCAGTTACACGAGACCGATAAAGGCTGCGATAAGTAACCTGATACACAACCGCGCCGCTGTCTGTTGCGTGCCATTGTTTTCAAGGGGATATGGTATCAGCCGTATTAATAGTTAATTTAAAATCATGCAACTGGAGCCGCTGCTCTTTGTGGAAAGTTTCGTGCAGGCCGGGCCGTGCATTATGCATGGGAGCAGCGGCCTGGCTGCGCAGCCAGCATTGCCAAAAGGAGCCCTGGAGAGGCAAGAGGAAGCGAGTCAGGCCGCGGTCAGCTCTACGCTGTTCAGTCAAGGAGGATCGGCTTTTAACAGCCACGTACGCGTGTAAGGTACAGCGCGACAAGTAGGGTTCATGGTAAGTTTAAGTGGAACCTGTCTCCATTACCTCAATGATCTCCTCCACTTTTCAAGGATTTTTTTTTTTCCAACAAAAGCTGCGGGTGCCACTCGTGTTCCCTCGTGGGTTAGCATGAACGGCGCAGAGAGGGTCCGTGAAGAAGCACCGATGCTGCCACCGTCCCTCCTGGCAGCACCACTGAGCAGAGAGACCGAGGCCTCTGTTCTGCAGCTTCCTGGAGCCTCATCGACTTCGGTGTGTCCAGCTCACTGTGGTCTGGACCACGATTCCTCAGCGGAAAGCTATGGCGCAGCTTCAAGTGGTTATCCCCAGTTACCATCTCAACAACATAGATTTGCACAGCCATGGAAACAGAGACACGAACATGTTGGTGTAGTTACTGCAGAGCTCCCACCTCAGAGCTGATCCCGAGGGTGCCTGAGCGTGTGTAAGCTCCTGAGCTCCGCCGTCCTCAACGTCAGAGTCCTCAAACTACCCAGGAGCAGGGTCAGAAGCCAAAGGGTTTCAGTGCATCAAACCACTTAGTCCATTAAATGCCCGTTTCCCCTGACCAGCAGCACATCTTAGGCTGTATCTCCACTTGAGGAGCTCTGCTTGTTTCAAATGCAGACGCATCTCCCGATTTAGACACTAAACTGAGTCTCAGGGGGTGCAAATCCTTCCCTGCCTCCCACTGTTACTGCCTGTGAGTCATCCCGACCTGATGGCATTTATCCAGGCAAAATGGGGGAGAGGGAACAGAGCACGGCATCCGTGTCTCCCGACTTATCAGAGTAATGTCTGTTTGCTTTACGTCGTGCGGGTGCAGAACACAAGTTATTTCGTTCCAGGGTAGTGGAGGCGAGACCTACCACACGTAGTGATTTGCTCGTGGCGATAAGCCAAATCTGTGGCAGAGCCACGCTGTGCTCCACCACCTTATTTCCATTAAACCTCAGACTTGAAACGATACCGTGATTGCATGGGACTCTCTGTATTTTCCATGTCGTTCTCTGCCAGCTTTTTCCCACCTCTGAATCTCAGTTTTGTGGGCCAGGGGAGGACTCGTATCGAGATATGTGGCTGTACATCAGGGCCAAAAGCTTTTCATCTGAAGAGCAATTAAGGAGTTAAATATCGTCTTTCGCCTTTTCCTCTATTTTAAAAACAGGAAAGATTATCCACTTGTGCTTTGGAGACGGAAGGCAAATAAAATAAGCTGCCTGGATTTTGCACGGGGAGAGCACGGCGAGGGGAAGGCCGGGCTGGCCGGGGCTGGGCTGGCCTGGGCTGGGCTG